TAGACAGAGTATAAGCTACATAAAGATGGAAGGTGCACAGAGAATTTGGATTATTGTGGGGGGTTTTTTTTGGTTTTTTTGACTGGAGAAAGATATTTGAGTCTGAGAACTGCTTTAAAAAGGTATTTTGACTTTAAAATATGGGTCTAAGGATATGTTGCTTTGGAGAAGAGGTTCTGCTTTTGTTTCTACAAAAGATGAGAACCTGTGGATTCCTTCTAGACTGGTGTGGTTTGATGGACCATAACCCTCTGAAATGTCGCTGTGAATGCCCCCAAAGATACAGCACCCCCTTAACAACAGAAAGTAGTCTGGAGAGAGATCTATCCTTAAATGATTGTTTAAGTGGGGCTCAGGAGCCTGTCAGTTATTGTGGGCCAGACAAGCGGAGTGCAGGCATGCAGGTAGCAAGCTCAGGTCCCTTCCACGATTCCCAAGCATGGGCCTGCTTTCTGGTGTCTCCACAAGCGAAGAGGTGGTGGCTGGGGCAGAGCTTTGCAAAGGAGGCAGCAGACTGCTGTGAGTGTTCATGGAGGAGGCCCAGAGGCAGCTGCAGTTCCTGGCTCTGCCATTCTTGGATCTTCCCAAGCAGTGGGCTTCGGAAGGTGCATTGCCTGGCCAGGTGGAGCCATTCTGGCCAAGACTCCGGGATCACCGTGGGTGGCTGCTATTGTCACTGCTGCAGCCTCCTTTGTGGCCACTCTGGAATTGCCATCAGCCAGACAACTGCTGTGACTATCTTGTAGCCGGTACCAGATTGAATACTAGAATGAGCATGTTCGCTAAAGCTTTTTTCAACTTATTGCTATCATATTTGTGTTACACCCATGACAGTCCAAACCCTTGGTCGAATTATATAGAAGAGAGGGATATGTTGGGGACTGTGGATCACCAGACCCTGAATTTCTTGTAAACAACTTGTTTTCCTCTGCTCTGAGCACGAGACCCTGATGGCAGGGGAGTGGGTTCTAATGATTTTACAGCTGAAAGATCCCAAAAGTTGGGGCATGGCAAGAGCCCTCTATAAGCTGCCCCTGAGCACAATAAAGTGGGCATTCTTGTATCAAAGATGACCCGTGTCCTCATGTCTGTGTCTGTGTGTGCGTGTGTGTGTGTGTTTAAGCCTCCAGCTTAGTTCCCAGCTTGCGTACCGTCCTGTAGTACAGGCACAATTTTCCTCTGTCCCACATCTGTCTCCTCTCTATCCAGAGGCAGTCCTTTGTCCCTCCAGGGCAATATCCCTGCCCCTCTCCCTTGTCCCCCCCCCCCCATCCTCTATCTCCTGTCATTGTCTCTCTTATTCCCTGCCCTCTGTTCCTCTCGGACAAATTAATCTCCTTTGTACTGAGAACTTGGTCTTGGGGGCTCCTTTCCCCTGCTATTGAGATGATGATGTTGTGGAACAACAAATCTCAGCAGCATTCTACAGGGAACATTTATTTCTCGCTAACATATGTAGGATAACAGGGATACCTGTTTCATGTGTCACATCCCAGGACGTATGGCAACACTCAAGCAGTTCAAAGAGTGACTAGCCAGGGTACCGAATGGTAGAAACAGGAGCTCTCAAGCCCATAGGCAAGTAACCTCTGCTCTCGTCACACGTTCCTACCATTTGTTCCATTGGCCCAAGCAAGTCACATGGCCAATAACTCAAAGGTTATATATTGCCCATCAAGATGCTGCCATGTCGTGCGTGGCTTTGGTTCTGGAAACCAGACTGGGGTGGTAAGAGAATGAAGAAAGGATGCACAGGTAGGGAAAATCTGGCCGTGGGTGGGCCGAGCCATGTCCTCTGATGAAGGTGCAGCAACCACAGAAGCGGCCCAGAAACTCAGCCTTCCCTTTGTACATCTGAATCGAGGAGGCAGGTTGATTGTATAAACCTCAGAGGCAGGCTTACCTGGTCTCAGAGGAAGGTCTCTGTAGGGAAGCAGTCTCAACTGCAGCCATTCCAGGGGAGGAAGCTGTGGTTGATAGTTTTATACACACTGCTCAGTCATTCGTAAATACTCATACTTGGGCCATAGTGTTATGTGACAAAACTTTTTTTTTTGGGGGGGGGGACACTACACACATTCTAGAGAGGGAGCCCGTGACAGAACAAAGTATGGATACCACCAAAAGCCAGCTTGGTAAACCAATGAGTGTCATTGGGATTACTTGCAGGAATATGGGTGAGAGGTTAGTTCCAGGAGCAGAAATGACTCAGAGACAGCTGCATCACCAGGTCCACCCCAGCATGGGTGACAGGGAACAAAGACAGAAACTTCGAGCACACTGCACAACAGGTTGGAAAGTGTCCTTTCCAAGTTCCTCTGCTCTAAACCTCTTCCAGGCTGCTTGGCGGTCTCTGCTGCTCCCGGGCGTCCTGTCTGATCTCAGAGTCATTTCTGTAGCTTAGCTTGGTTGAGTCTCCTGCTCATATTTTGACTTCTCTGAGAGTGACTCTCAGCAGTCTTTGTTGCTTACTCTGGCAGGGAGGGGCCTAGTGAACCTGGACAGTTTCAGGGACTTCCTGAAGCTATTTTGAATTATTTACTAACTTGCTTGAAGAGCTTACCTGCAGTATGGGATGTTTCAGTCTTGGAGGAAACTGTGACACGACACATAGGAAGAAACTGCCCATTTCCTGAGCCTAACCTGGATGGAGAAGGTTTTATCACCCCTATTGGTCCAATGCTAGCGATATATATTCAGGATTTCAACTGTTATTTACATATCACCCAAGGCTTTCTCCACTCCCCTGCAAGGGGCCAGGTCAACAGCGTGGATATACACCTCTATTATAGAGAGGGAAGAAATGGCATTTAAAACCCCAACTACTGTCCTCTCTAAACAGTCCGAAAGGCAGGCATCCCCTGCCCCATTGTCTTGAGTAAATGGAGCCTTTTGCTGTTCACCCAGCGAAGTGTAAGCTGCCTTAGCAAACTTAGAATTCAAATCCTCAGCCTTCCAGACCTCTGTGGCTTCTTCCTGGAAGTAGCCCCCTGCATCTTCAACAGTTACAGCCCTTGTGTTTCCATGCCTGTATCAACTCTTCTCCAAGAAAGCCCAGACCTCATCTCTTAGCCCCATCACTGTTTAACATTTGTTTGGGATCTTCTGCGAGGCTTTTACAAGCCACTTTTACTATCGCCTCACTAATAAATTATTTATGGTGGGAAACCAAAATCAGAAAATCCTGGCTACTTGAAGACAGACTTTATTAAAAACATCTCCTTCCCCCTTGCAACACGGGGCCCACTTAGGTACACTCAGTTCCTCGGCTTTACCCAGCTTCAGTGCACAGAGGAAGAGACACTGCCCATGGCTACAGAGGCAGGGGTGTGGAAGAAGAGTGCGGGAAGCTCATTCTCTAGCAAGGGTTTTTTTTTACTGCTCCTGCCTGGTACCACCGTAGGCACCAGATGAATGTAACTTTAGGGGTCTAACTAGTGAGGGTGGTGAATGAAATAGGAAGCCACCCCACTCTGATGCGGTAGTCACTTGTTCACACAAGAATGGGCTGCGGAGAGGCTGCGGAGATGATTTGGTAGGGAGACATCTCGGTGAGAAGGTCTTGATGAGCAGTCATAAGGACCTGAGTTCAGATCCCCAGCCCCCATGTTAAAAACAAAACAACAATGCACTATGCTTTTATCCTAGTGCTGGGAGAGAAAACCAGGAGAATCCAGAGGTTCATTCGCCTACCAGTCTAGCCAATAGATGAGTAGGTCTCATCTATAAATAAGACCCAAAGTTATAGAAGATACCTGATACTAACTTCTGGCCTACACACACACACACACACACACACACACACACACGGGTGGGGGACAAGAGAGAGAGAGAGAGAGAGAGAGAATGGTTATGAGCAGCCAATTCTGGGCCTGGTAGCAAGACACTGGGCTGAGATGTCTCTAGAATAAAAGGGAGTTTCTATTCTGCAGAAAGGGGAAGATTACCCTGAGTTGAGAAGAAAGTAGACATAAGACCCTGGGTAGTCTTAACCCTTTCTGAGGACCCATCAGCCTTTCACCTGAAAACCACGTTGACACCAGACAGGTCCCATGTGAAACTCAGGAGAGGACTTTATTGCTAGAGGCCAAAAGACACCGGGAACTGAACTGCAGAAAGAGCAAGAGAGGAGGGCTCTAAAGATAAACGCGCAGCCCTGGGGCACGACAGCAGGTACAGTGAGTATAGCCAGAAACTTTTTCTGACGCCTCGGCACAAGCAGCGTTGTTCTGACCAGGCGCCTCGGTCGCCAGCTCCATGTTCGCTCGGAGTTGCCGGAGTGGGACCCAGGATTGTCTCTGCTCTTTACTTCCACGCCTTGGGGTCCAGACGCTGCAGGTCCTCCCCCTCTTTTCCCCATTTTTTGCCACTGGGGGCGGGGATGGAGGCGTGGAGTCGAGCCTGACAGCACACGCATCAATGACATCTTTCAGGCGGAAGGGGTGGGGGCTTGTCCCTCCCCACTCCTGCCGCACCGGGTCCCCTCCTCTTAGCACACCCTGGCGCCTGGAGTTGGTACTGGCAGTCAGAGGTCCAAAGACTGAGCCCCTACCCTACCCCTGACATTCTGGCCTCTTCTAGGCTGATCTGCCTAAGAACGTTCCCAAACACCTAGAGACTGATGGTTCTCAAACCTCTGATCTGGCTTCCTAGCTGCATCTGACTTGTCCGAAAGCCGTGGGAGGACATAGTGCCGAGTACAGGGCCGGGATCTCGGTGGCAGCAGCTGGGAGGAGGGGCAGGGAGGGGGTACAGAGGTGCCAGGGGACCGAGGGACAGCGAGACATCTGGCCTGACCACGCGGCTTCAAATTTCCACGGGCTCAAGGTTGTGCAACCTCGAGCCTAGCGAGAGCCACGGGCGCTTCGGAAAACAAGGCGAGCCCATAAACAAAGCCACGTGGCCTCGGGGCCCGGGGGGGCCGGGCTTAGAGCAGGCGGCTCTTCCGGCAACAAAGAGCCGGGGCAGAGGCCCGGGATAAATACTGCGCCCCGGCAGCCGCGCAGCATTCCCGGAGTCCGACGCTATAGGAAACCCTTCCCAGCGCCTGCGCCCACCCCAGACCCGCAGTCCTCCACACCAGTTCCCCACACTTGTCCCAGTCGCCGCCTGAGTTCACCCAGCATCTTTCCAGCGCGGCGCATCCCCGGGGCCAGCCAGGCCGGTCCCCGGCTATCAATCCATCCTGCCCGTCGGTCGCGTCCGCACTCGGTGCCATGCCGTTCCTTGGGCAGGACTGGCGGTCCCCGGGCCAGAGCTGGGTGAAGACAGCCGATGGCTGGAAGCGCTTCCTGGATGAGAAAAGCGGGAGCTTCGTGAGCGACCTCAGCAGGTGAGGACATTCTCCAACTTCCAGCCCCACAAAACCGACCTTAGCTGATCTGGGGGTGGGAGCGCAGGAGCAGATGAAGGAAGGCAAGCGGGGTTGGGCCAGGATAAAGAGGGGGCCTCCAGTTGAGGAGGCAGGAGTGAGATGCCCGGATTTCTACAAAGGTCGCCAGAACACCAGAGATGGTTAATTCGGTGTTTCTTACTGACCAAGGTCAGTGTCTCCCAGAGAAAAATATTCCATACGGAACCCGGGATTCCTCAGTCTGGCAACTGGGGATCATGTCCCTAAACACTTCTTGAACCCAAGCGCACAACTCAGGGACTCTGCCTTTAGACCCCGGAACTGAAGTTACTGCTTTAAGTGGGCGCTAGCGAGTTGGCTGTGTGCCTTTCCCTGCCCTGTGACAGGACCCAAGGAGAACAAGCACGGTAGTCACGAGCCGCCGGATGGTGGATCTAGTCGTGGGCCCTGCCCTGAGTGCACAAAGGCTCTTCCCACACACAATCGACTGCTGAGTGGGCCGAGGGGGGAAAAAAGAGTAACTGGGAGGGGCAGCCGATGGGCCCTGAGACAGCCGCCTTCCTGGGCAGACTTGCGGAGTGGGTGGTAGCGGTAACGTTTAGGGGCTAAAGGGGGTGGAGGGAGGGATGAAACACGCACGCATGCACAACGCTCAGCTTCAGGAAGGACCAGGCACTTGCACCTGCTTCCTCCGTGGCCCTTTCCAGTCAGTCTCTGCACAGTGAGCACACTCCCATCCCTAGCGTGCCTGCCAGCTGCAGAAAGACCACCCAGACTTGACGTCTCACCTGAGCTCTGTCGCCTGGTGGAAAATCTGAGGTCGAACGAATGCCTACTCATAAATTACGAGGTTGAGAATCAACCCCCAACCGGAGCAGCTGACCACCTGAGACACCCGAGGAACATGCTAAAAGTGTGTTCAGAGGGGGCTGGTGCAGTTGAGGTCACCCTTGGGTGCCTTCCCCTCCCACTAGTCTTTGATTAACATCCACACACACCCCTGCATCCTTAAACGGACTTAACAGAGTTCTGTGAGCTTGCCAGGTCCCACGGAGTGAGGTTTGATGGTTGTTTGAATAGAGGTTTGGCAATTATCAAGAAACTGTTGTATGGGCAGCTTGACCTCCAAGGTCTCCAATTTGATTGTGATTCGTAATGCTTAAATTCCCTTTGTCTCTTAATGAGGTGAAACGACCATTGAACTCAGGGCCTTTCAGGAGAACCCAATATATTAATTAGCCTTTGTGTTTGGTCCTTTGAGGCAGCCCCAGGGGAGTTTAGAACACTGTAAAGAAATCTTATTCCAAAAAAATCAGATAAATTACCAACTGTTGTCATCTCACAGCTTTCCAGAGAATGATTTAACAGTTATACCTAGTACTTCTCCCTCAACTAAGGGAGCAGGGAGTAAACCAGAAGCTTTCTCCTCCTTGAAACCATCCACCTTAGGAGCCAGAATTTAATATCTCAGCCCTTGGTTTCTGTATAAAAAGCTCAGCTGCGTCCCAGCCGAGATGCTGCAGGGGCCCAGCCAGCTGCATCACAGTGACTTGCCCCAATAAAACAGGACAGACAGCCTGTTTCAGCAGGTCCAGATCTAAAGTGGAGAGACCGCAGTCCATCTGGATACTCACTCTGTTCTTGCTCTCTCTACGAGATAGACTACAGAAATAGTGACACCCCACTCTTCCTATTGCAAAAGACCTGAAGATTAGATAAACTTGCCCCTGAAGTTTTAAGGAGGCTGGGAGTCTTCCTGACCCCCTTTTCTGGCCTATCACACCTGTGAATTGAAGCTGTTGTCCTCTCTGTCATCACTGTCTCAGCAGTGACTGACACAGTGACCACCTGCAGTCCTCTGCTGAGTCACACTTGAGGACCGATTTGGTCATCTGCCCCTCAGAAGAGCAGCTGGCTGTTTATGGGTATTTTTCCCCCAGCAACCGTAAACAATCCCCTCCTTCCTTAGCTCAAGAGTCTTGCCAATTTCTTAAAAGCAGTGGCCTTCTGAGGTCTGGCTTTGTGATCTCAAATATCCCACTGTTTCCCGGCTTGGCTTTCCTGTGATGTAAGGTTTGGGCCCTGTGCCTGGCTGCACAGGTGAGCTTGAATGTCCTCTCTTGTTTTCCGAAAACAAAAGGTGGGGCCTTTGTAAGAGAAGGTGAGTAACTGTACACTGAGCTACCAAGGGGCAGGCCGCTTCTCTAATTCCATAGGCCATCCTGAGAGTCACTCAGCAGAAGCGAAGAATAAAGGCTGCTTTTGGGGGTTATTGTTTAGTGTGAACCCTGACTTGCCTACGCAGTACACCTGTTCTAGACTCTGCTGGCCATTGTCCCAGTGGTCCAGGGCCCTGTCCTCCAACAGCCAAATGTTACAGTCTCAAAGCGCTCAGATGCCTCCTGAGATCACCAACTTTAGATAAGCTTAAAGCTGGCCCCTTAAATCGTAGGACCGGTAAGCTAAGGGAGGGATGGCAAGTGCGGCAGATGAGAATTTCAAGGAAGGAACATTGTATGAGCTGGAGTGATCCAAGAATGCTTCAAGGAAGTGGTGGCTGAGCTGGCCCACACTGCCTCTTCCCCAGCCACCCCTGTCGCACCCCAACCCCAAGATGAGTAATCTCAAGTCTCTTCTCCAAGCCTGGACTTCTGTAGTTAAAAGCCCATTCCAGTGATACAAACTGTGGGTTGCTAAGGCTGGCCCAGGAAGAAGGAAGTTGGTCTTTATGCCTTGAATAAAAATAATAGTAGAGATATTTTTATGAGCACTTGCTCTGAGCAAGGCAGTATTGTAAAAATCTCCGTGCGCTAGCCTGTGTCTCCAAAGCAATCTAGGAAGTAGTCCTTTGAAGTTTGGCAACCTGGATATGACTTTGTGCAAATAAACATCAAAACCTCATTGGCCATAATCAAGACTATAGAACTACTTTGGGTCAGGACATGGTTTTATTAAATGTTTATCTTAGTTACAGATGAAATAAATAAAGATCGTATTTCCTATCCCCGCCTTTATTTGCTGCCAAAATGGTCATATTTTGGAATCTTTCCACCTTTTCTGCAGTTGCCTTATAGTATTTTCTATGTGTTTGTTGGTAATGTGGGTGCTGGGTGGAGGAGGACTTTTTCCTTTTTCTTGGCCTATGCCTATAAACAGCAGGGTTAGAAGTAGTTACAAAGTAACAACTCACTTGTTGCATTTGGTGAGAAAGGCAGGCTCCTTGAGATGGTTTTACTTATTTTAAATATATTTTTATATATGCTGTAATTTACAAATGGTAGTCATTTTGTTGTTAAACATTTGAGTTGTAATTTTCCATTGATTTTGCATTTCCTGGAAATAGACATAACTGAAGTCTCAAAATAGCCACTGGATAGATTATTGCTTAAGAGAAAACATAAGTGAATTCACAGCCTTGCTTCCAAGCCCAGCATCCAGCATTCAAACCCTAATACAAAATGAGATGTATAGGGTTTCCCTGTGGTTAAAACTCCTCTATACTCTGCATCGAGAGAGCATCATCAATGGTGTGAAATTCTTCTCGATTTGGCTTTGGAAATGAGTCACTCCAGCTTAAAGTGGCTCATTGTAGCATCTGTGAAGAAAACCAGTGCTGAATTCCCTCGAACCCTGTCCATTAGAAAAGGCTAAGATGAGGTGCCATACGTGGTTAAACATTGTAGCGCCTGGTTGCTCTCTGTGCCTAAGGAGGAAAGCTGCTACAGCCCCTTATATGTATGACTTACAAGAAGACAGATAGCTTTGTTTGTTGTTCCCTAGGTATGGAGTTTTTACTGTAGTTTGTAGGGCTGTGGGGCTCTGTGTGTATTTCTTTAAAAATAAGCCTTCCCGTGGTATTTTTGCCCACAGAATGTTCTAGCTTTGTTTTCTGACGCTTTGGGACATCACAGACCACTCCATCCTTTCCTCTTCCTCGGCTTTGATTGACATTCTTTAGGTCAGCCTCCCAGTCTCAGAGTTCTGGTCTTTGTTCCGTTCCTTTCTTCCTGCTGACTGGAAGCAAAACATCACCTCATCAGTGACTCTGTCCCCTGTACCCCCAAAGCCATGCAGACAAGACAAACACACACTCTGGAGCTGTACAAAGCCTAACCCAAAACATTCACCCTTGGCTCACTCAGACAAGTGGCTCTGAGAGAGGTCATCTCTGCAACACACATTCTGAAGCCTAAAAATATCCTGTTTCCCTGAATGAAAAAGAGAAGGCGAAAGACATCAGGGAACTCAATAAATGGTTGACTGGTGGCCTGTCAGGTTTTTCCCTGCAGGTTCTGAAAGCAGCACAGAGTACCCAGCTGGTGATGTCAGCATTTTAGTAAGCTACTAAGACAAGTTCTACTTATTGAGACAGTAATTGCAATGAAAGAATACTGGACACTTTGTGGCCTTCTTGTCCCTTCTATCGTTTACAGAAAGCCAGAAATAGAGGAGAACATATATACTTCTATTCATCCCCCAAAAGAGATTTAAATCAAATCACATTTAAAATTCTGCAATTAAAGGACTCTTCATAGCTTAGTGGACATTCACACCAGATTTGTACGGGTGTGAATTATAAATTATATATCCTGCCTGCCTCTTTGGGAGTTGAAAGAAGCAGGGAGCCGGGTAGTGGTGGCACACACCTTTAATCTCAGCACTCAGAAGGCAGAGGCAGGTAGATATCTGAGTTCAAGGTTAGCATGGAATGCAGAGAAAGTTCCAAGACAAGGGGGGCTACACAGGGAAAACCTGCCTCAAAAAAACAAAACCAAAACACAAAAGAGGCAGGAAACCCATCTTCTTGTTTAATTTTAGTATTTCTTCCCCATCATTTTTGCATAAAGTATTCAGAGATTTTCCTTAAATTGTGAGACAGTCCCCCTTACTCCCATGACACCTCAGCCTGCTGAAGAAATTAGGCACCTGGCCAAATATGGACCTATCCACCGTTTAGTGACCTATGAATTGGATAAGTGTGTTTGATGTCTTTTCAGCCCCTCTAAGTTATGAATTATGCATTTTTCCTAGTTTCTGTTAGGATACTTTAACCATTCAGCCTGAGGCCTAGAAACCCAAACAATGAGCATTGTATGCAAAATAACTGCTGGAAGGGGAGTTTGAAGCTCAGATTTTTGTAATAGTGATCATGTTTTTTTAAACGCAGCACAGGAACACACTAGTTAAAGGCACTTGGTTATACGTTAAATGAATGACTTGCATAATATGTGATTTATAGCCCAATAAAACTGTTTATAAAGAGAAGGGCAGGATGTGATAGCACATGCCTGCAGTCCCAGCGTTCTGTACACCAAGTACTCAGAAGGCGGAGACAGAGGAACAGTGCGTTCAAAACCAGCCTGTACTGCATAGTTATTCAAGGCTAGCCTGAGCTACACGGTAAAATCTTGTATTAAAAAGAAGAGAAAGGCCCAGTTCTTGGGAGGCAGAGGCAAGAGGATCTCACTCTATGACTTTGAGGCCAACCTGGACTACAGAGTGAGCTCCAAGACAGCCAGGAGTGTTTCACAGAGAAACCCTGCCTCGAAAAACAAAACGAAAAAAGATAATGGGCATGGTGGCCCACACTTTTAATCACAGCACTGGGGAGACAGAGACTGGTGGAACTATAGGAGTTTGAGGTCAGCCTGATTTACATAGTGAGACCCTGTCTCAGAAAGAGAGAAGGGATTGAGGATTGGAGACGATGGGAAGGAGGGAGGATGGTGGAAAGGGAAGGAATGCTCTGCCTCTTGCAAAGGCCTGCATTGTCCGACACAATGATACTAGCCATCTCCCTCCCCTGTTCAGCACTTTTGTTGAAAGTGATACTGTAACATGCTGCGTCACTCTTAAAGAGTGTAGTGTTCTGTATCAAATTATAATGGAAGGCCCTGTTAGGGAATTCAAAAGAAACACATGCCCCCATCCCTGCCTTCCGCATGGAGATGCTGATATTTTTACTAAAAGAAGTCTGTGCTTGTGCCTGTGTGGCGATGGTTCTCAACCTGTGGGTCACAACCCCTTTAGGGTCGAAGGACCCTTTCCCAGGGGTCTCATGTCAAATGTTTACATTACAATTCATAGCAGTAGTAAAATTACAGTTATGAAGTAGCAACGAGATAATTTTATGGGTAGGGGGGTCTCCACAGCATGAGAAACTGTATTAAAAGGTCCCAGCATTAGAAAGGTTGAGAACCACTGCTGTATAGACCCTTTTCTTTTTGTTATTTTATGGCTTTGTTTTGTCTGGGAAGCATGTGTTGGTGTGTTTTATAATCCAGTGAGTTATCTGTGGAAGTATAGCTATTCCATCCCTCTTCTCCTCCCTTACAGTTACTGCAGCAAGGATGTGTACAATAAGGAGAATCTTTTCAACAGCCTGAATTATGATGTTGCAGCCAAGAAGAGAAAGAAGGACATTCTGAACAGCAAAACCAAAACTCAGTGTAAGCCATTTGTTTTGCATATAAGAAGAAAGGTGTCTGGGGACATAGCTCAGTTGGTAGGGTGCCTGCCTCGGATGCACAGAGTCCTGAGTTCAGTCCCTTAGGGCTGGGTGAAGGCCAGCCCAGCAGCAGGATCAGAAGTTTCAGGCCACCATCTTTGCTACATAACAAATCCAAAGCTAGCCTGGGGCCCCTTGAGACCCTGTGCCCAAAGAAAAGAAAAGGCTATTGGAAGATTCTTATGAATGGTTCTCAAAAACCACATTAGCGCCTCTCATATTCGAGAGCTCCCTTGATGCTTTCTCTATCGCTAGTTGAGGTTTCTGGGATCTTTGCTTCTACAAACTCAACTGTGTGTCTCACAAGCAAAATTAGCATATTCTTTACTGTTCAAAAGTCCTTGCCAGTTGAGCGTATCCCTGCTTGTCACTTGTCTTTGACATTGGTAAGATAGCTGCAGGACAGGGCTACAACAGAATCCATTCCAGCAGCACTTTGATTTTTCAGCTGGGTTTTGAGGCTTTGAAAATAGAATTAAGAGGCAAAGGATGTAGCTCCGTGCTTGCCTTGCAGCGCAAAGGCCTGGATTCGTCCTCAGTACCCAGTGAGCTGCGCATCGTGGGTTTCAGGAGGTTGAAGAGTTTGAGGCCAATGTGGGATGCGTAGACTCTGTCTCAAAATGAAATAAATAAAAGGGCAAAAGAGGAAAATGGGTATGTCCCTCTTGCATAAATCTGAAGTCACATGGTCTAGATACTTATGTGTTGGCAGAGGATATAAGGCTCTATTACAATTGAACATTTTCAGCCTCTTAGACTGTTGAAGTCTTTTTTGTCAAAACATTTTGAACTTTGGGATAAATAAAAAAAAATGAGTCATATTTAAAATCTTAGGCCTGCTACAGATTGTTCAGATATGTTTCTCTTTCGTTTTTGGCCTCTATAGATTTCCATCAAGAAAAATGGATCTATGTTCACAAAGGAAGTACTAAAGAGGTGAGTACCCATCTGCTTACTAAGGCGCCATGCTTAGTAATGCTGCACCCTCCTAAGAGAGCAATTGGGCAAAACCAGTCCTTTATGTCTAACAGGAGGCGGGAAAGGGGTCAGCTTTCTGGGGGAGGGGAGGCGTTCTTCATACCTAGTTAGCAATTAGGTTTGAGAGGCCTAACCATTCATTCCAACAGGTGTTTTCAGAGCCTGCTCTTTGCGCTGTAGGTCCCTATACTAGCCGTCTTCTGTGGCACTGGAGAAAACAGGCAGTTTGCTCACTGGAACATGGGACAGTGTGATGGGTGACAGCATTCCTATTTCTTTCAGGGACATTGGAAAACACCCCGTTTCTCTTATGGCATCAGCCCCAGAGAAGGTGGATCAGGGACAAACCCAAATCTCCCAGGAACTTAGGACAGAGTGAGATGATACGCCAGAACTCTGTATTCCCGATTCTCTGTGCATAAATACTAAGTGTTCAGAACTTGATTGCTTCCTTACAAAGCAAAGTACACCAGTGGGTGCAGGGTGATATCACCATGGGGGCAGGGAGAACCAATTGCTTCTCAGTGTGAGAGATACTGTCATATAGTCCCAGGTGGCATATCCTCCGTTCCCAGTGATACACTGTGCGTTAGCACTCCCAGACTAGCATAGGTAGAGAGCTAGGGTGGTACTAGTCTAGAAAAGAGATAGTCCACAGGTGAGTCTCCAGCTGAAGTAGATGTGGGCTGCACCATCCAACTGTGTCTCCCGGAATTTGGATGCAGAAGGGAAGGCTAAACCCAGTCCTCTAGATGGGCAGTCAGATGGTTCAGTAGAGTCCCTCCGGAGGGCGCTGCAGAATGACCTGTGCATGGCAGGAGTAATGTGTGTCTCTGTCTCGCTCACATGCAGCGCCATGGGTACTGCACTCTGGGGGAGGCTTTCAACAGACTGGACTTCTCAACCGCCATCCTGGATTCCAGAAGATTCAACTATGTAGTAAGGGTAAGTCTCAAAAGCCCCAGATAATCCAGACTCTTGATTTGAATTGTTAACATTCAGATTGGCTGCCTGGGTGGTGGTGACGCCTGCCTTTAATCCCGCACTCAGGAGGCACAGGCAGGTAGATCTCCGAGTTCAAGGCTAGCCTGGTCTACAGAGTGAGTTCCCAGACAGCCAGTGATACATAGAGAAACCCTGTCTCGAAAAACCAAAACCAAAGCCACACAAAAACATTCATGTGGTCCTAGTTTTGAGGGAGAGGAGGTGGAGGGAGGGAGAAAGAGAGAGGGAGAGAAAGGGAGAGAGATTTTTCATGACGCTGAGGGTTCAGGGCAAGCAGAAAACAACTCTTTGCAACATGGCTTCCCCAACCCCCAGTACTTGAGGGTGTAGATGGTAGCTGTGGTGTTGTTTCTGAGATGGACCCCCGCTCAGACATGCAGTGCCATAATCCCTCAGTGAATCTGTAAGTCAGTCCATCACCCCAAGTGAAAATGGTATGGTCCTCCCATACCTCCTCCCTGTCTAAATGGGAGTGTGGAGCAGGCAGCTACAGCAGAGAAGGAGGGTTTCTCAGGAAATAAGCCCCAAATTAGGCTTGTGCAAAAACCTGATTGTTCCGCACTCTTGCTTTAGCTGACTTGGGGTCACATCAAGGCCTGCTTTACTGAGGGTACACAATGGTTGGGCTCAGAGCCCCTCAGTGTGGTCTTCCCAGACCTCCCATCCCATACTGAGTCTGACATTGTCCTTGGGGTCTGTTGATTTCTATTTTAAACCCTATTTTGAAAAAAAGTTAATATTAGCAAAGTGTTAATAATGAAGGAAGTAGCACTAGTGAGCCTAACATGACTTGGAAGTTGTTGAGTCTGGGTGATTGTTTTACATGCACACATGCACACGCGCACGCACCACACACTTCCTTGTGCATTTTTTGTTGATGGTTCACCCCGGGAAGAAGCAGCTGTTTAGGTTTGGGGCTGTGTAGTTGGAGGGAATTTCCACCTGTGGGTGTTACTTGGTTAAGCGTTTGTTTTCTTTTTCTGGGTTCTCAGTGCCCATCACACGGTCAGATGACAGCAGAAGCTCAGCCAGGGTGATGACACGCAAGCTGCCTTGAGGCCTGGTCCATTCACCTGTCATCTGGGGAGATGCAGGCAGGCTGTGCAGAATGACTTGGCAAAAGCCCAGGCCTTCAAGCAGGTTGGAAGGCCTGAGCTGAGCCCATGACACATGAGCAGTTCTGTTCTCTCTCTGGCTGGGCCCTTCTTCAGGCCAAGAGGGATAAAAATAAGAGCCCTTCTTGGGTAAAATGTTCCTGTCATTCTGCATGACTCTGCTGGTTTTAGAGAGGTCACCTAGTCCTCACAATGCCTACAGACTAGTCTGGCTGGTTGGAATTAGTCCCAGGGAGATCTGGAAACTTCTGTGGCTAAGAATATGAATAGTTTCCATCATCTATGTTAGAGGAGACACTCAGATCTGATTACGTGTTACAAATCGATCATCAAAATGATCTGGTTTTAAACGGCGTTCCTTCCCCCCCCCTACTTTTCTTTTCAAAGGAAATAAAGCACAGGACCCAGATTATAACACAGCTGCAGACATTTTTTTACCTTTAATCTTTTCAGTGTTCCTATGAAATGTAGGTGCTTGGATTATTTCCGTGTAAACAAACGGTATGCCCAGGTGACCGATTTATCTGAGGTCACAGGACTGTGGAAGGAACCTAATGCAGATTTGAAAACTGCATGTCTTAAGAGCTCATGCTTGTGTCTGCTTCTCTGGCTTCTTTGTAAGCAAGGGCTTAATGTAAATGTCCTGAAAGCCAGGCTCCACTTGGTGTCCTCTTCCATAAAAGGGGTGTCTCTGGTTTAAGAGGGAAAGTGTGGAAACATGATATTTTTGCATAGGGGTGAATTCTGCAGATGAGAGCCAGCTATGAAGACTCAGCCACTAATATTTAATACTAATCTAATATTAATTGTTCATATTAATTACTAAAAATGATTAATTATTTAAATAGATTATTGACATTAATTATGATTAATATTATTACATTAATATTGATTAATTAATGGTTACCTGCTTATCAAGACAACTGTTGAGTCCCTATAAAAAAAGAGTTGGAGATTGGTAGCCAGAAATAGTAGCTTACTGCCTGGGCACCAAGGCCAGAGAGTGCAGCAAATCTCAGCATTGGTTGCATGTAGTCACTTAAGAAGCCAGTAGGTATGGGTCACCTGTCCCAAGAGCTTCTGAGTTATTAATTGCAGGCTGTGTGCAGGTATTGGCATTTTAAGAATGTCTGCTAGGGAAAGCCCAGTGAGTTTTAGAGTCTGAAGACTAATTCAGGAATTTATTTAGGGCCCAAATGTTGTACTTTACATAATGAACGTTAAGAAACAACAACAACAATACCCTTTTCCTTTATTATTTATTTATTTATTTATTTAGTATATGTATGTGGAGGTCAGAGGATGGCTTTCAAGCCTTGGTTTTTCCTTTCCACTGTGGGTTCCAGGGAAGAAAATGAAGTCATGGGGCTCAGTTAAGAGCCTTTACCCTTTAAGCCATCTTGTCAGCCCAAGAGCCACTTTTAAAAATATGGTGCCTCTGACAGGAGAAGAAAATAATAAAAAAGCCTCAAAAACTTTTTTTTTAAAAAACAATATGTGTGCTTTGATTCTGCATAATAAACTTTTAAACAAGATGCACAGCATCCAATTCTGGCTATGACTCCTGGCGTGTGTGTACTGTGGGCCACCTGTAATGTATGATGGGGAGGAGGGAGCCCCTCCCACTTTCCGGCTCAGGGTCCAAGCCCTATTAACTCTGATACCTTCTATAAATCATTGCTTTGCTCCTCTAAACTGTGGAGCTGTGGGGATTATGCCTGAATCGGGGTATCTCTGTGAGAATGGAGAAATGCAGTGTGAAGAAAAAGATAAAGGATATGGGAATGTTGCCTGTGAGTTTCTGTGATCTTCATATGTGCAGCCATCTTTCCTGAGTGGTTAAGGTGGGGAGTCTGGTTTTGCAGATGAAATACATTTAAAGATTTGTGTATCTGCAGTAAGACTTCTGAGGTGCTGAGAATGACTGAACATTTTAAAAGCTCCTTCCTCTGCAGTGAGGCTTGATGTTAGTAAACACCAATAGTTACCTAGCAACCCCTTTCCTCAGTGAGTCACTGAAGATGACTGCGTTATGAGGGATGGGAGGCGACTCACCAGGTAAAGGCATTTGCCACAGAAACCTGATAAGTGGAATTCAGTTGCCTGGACCCACATGACGGAAGGAGAGACTGAATCTGTGATCGTTCTTTGATCTCTATAAGTACAGTATGGTAAGCATGCACCATATCAATTCATACACACACACAATCACATACCACTATAAATGTTTTTTTTTAAAAAAAAAAAAGTTTAAAGAGATGAGAGAGACCCTGCCTCAAAGCCAGATGGAAGGAGAGAAAAGTTGTCCTGTACCCTCCATACATTTGCAGTGACATATAGTGACATATGTGTACACACACATCACATACACACAAAAGAAAAAATAAAGCCGGCTGTGGTGGCGCACGCCTTTAATCCCAGCACTCGGGAGGCAGAGGCAGGCCGATCTCTGTGAGTTCAAGGCCACCCTGGTCTACAAGAGCTGGTTCTAGGACAGGCTCCAAAAGCTACAGAGAAACCCTGTCTTGAAAAACCTAAATAATAAATGCTTTTAAAGCAAGATTATACATTTATATTATATAACATATGTATATATATATATATATATATATATATATATATATATATCTCAGAACTGTCTCCAAGGCAGTTCATTATTCAAGCAGGGAAAAAAATCTGCATTATTGGGATAAAACAGAATTAAGTTAAAACTTTGTAGCACCAATAAAACATGGTCTAAGGCTGCAGATATGGCTCCATGGTAGGGCACTTGCCTAGTGTATGTAATACCCTGGGTTCTAGCCCCAGCACTGAAAAGAGGTTTTCTGTATACACATGTATGTATATTGTGTGTATTCATATTTATGTGAAGTAAATATGTAAGAGTGATAAACGGTAAATAGACATGACATCATCTGAGGGCAACAGTAGGAATAGGGCAAGCTCCTTGGGCCAGTCTGGTCTCCCACTTGTGTGTGTATGCACCACAAGCCAAGAATGATTTGTATATTTTTCAAATATTTTATAAGTTAAAGAAATATGATAATGCCGGGCGGTGGTGGCACACACATTTAATCCCAGCACTCGGGAGGCAGAGACAATGAATCTCTGTGAGTTCAAGGCCAGCCTGGTCTGCAGAACAAGTTCCAGGACTGGCTCCATAGCTACTAAGAAACCCTGTTTTGACAAACCAAAAGGAAGGAAGGAGAGAAGAACTATAATAATTAATAAGACCTTAAAATTATGCACAACCCGAATATCAGTGTCCATGCAGTTTTACTGGGGCCAGCTGTGCACATTCGTTACGTGCTCTCTATGGCTCTTCCTGTGCTAAGTAGAAACTGGATTCACAGTTGAGTGACAGTTCTTGTGGCCGGCAAGCCTTTAAACCTCTAATGTCCCATCTAATTTGTGATTTGGGAAATATGTGCTGCATTCCCCTGAGCTATATCACCATAATCCAGAGTTCCAGCGTGTCTGATGAGGTGCTAGCGTGTAGAGGAGATGACCTATGAAGAGTAGATAGATAGCATAGAGGAGGTAGCGTAAGTCTCAGGAATGGGATCGTGTAAGGACTACCAGGGAGGAGAAAGTGGGCTTTGAACAGGTCTTGAGGCGCAGTAAAACTCAATGAGACTAGAGAAGGCAGGCAGGGCTCATGTCTATCCGAGATCATTGGCTAGACTGTTCAGTCTGGATGAAGCACCTGAGTGTGCCTCAGCATCCAGGGCCAGGTGAGGCTGTTGCCATGCACAGTTTTCTTGTGATCTTGGGCAAATGTCTGTCATTCCCACTGTAAAATGGTCATAGACATCCCACTCTCTC